AACGAAGAAACGACAGTTAGTTAAGTTTAGTACGACGAAGTAATAGTACTACGACATTACCTTCTGTTGTAGATACTACTATTATTATATATATATATATATATATATATATATATATATTCCAAATAATATATATAGTAGGATATTATTTGGAATTGGACTTATCCAAAGAATTCTTTTACATATTATCGTTCGCATGCAATGTAGAGGCGGATCCAGAATTTGAAGTTCATATGTTCTACAACGACCTCAATTTAGTATTACAGTTATACCGAGTTCACAGTCAAATATTTGTAGATATTTATTAAATTTTTTAAGTATACACAAGGTTTAGGCAAAAATTATTAGATTCACGTGAACACTAAGTAACACAGTGGATCCACATTGTAATATGTCGAAAAGATGGCGAAGAGATACAGACTTTTGTTATATTGTGAAAAGCATAAGAGTCCTTATTCTTTAAATACATATTTTTTTATTCTTTAAATACATATTTTGCATTAGGTAAAATTATAATTTAATTATTTTTTAATATTTAAGACTTTGAAATAATCTAAGATTATGATTATTAAATTTTTCATTGTTTGAAGTAAGTAACAAGTTCTAAAATTTAGAACTTTAGATTCAAATAAGATTTACCGTATATAATTTATTTCCCTATTTGAACTATACAACATAATTATATTTCCTCTCATATTAGTTTTGCTAATATTTTGACTTTTGATAAAAGTGCACGATAAGTTTGTTTGACCATTTAACAATGAATTACTATTTTATATGGCATATTTAACAAATATTAGTTTGAATTAGCTAGCCATGTGTGTTTGCAAATATTCAAGTTCAAGTTTCCTAATTAAAAAAAAGGTTAAAGTTTGGAAGAAATAATATTTCTGTATATTTTCTTTTCTTGCGTAATGAAGAGCTTCAACTTTTTTTGAACTTAGATATAATTTAGTACGTCAAAAAGCTCCAAAAAGGTCTTACACAAGTGCACTAATCCACCATCGAAATAAATAAATCAAGAATGTTTAAGCATATTTGATTGTACAAAAAATAATTAAATTTTATATATACATATATACATACATACATATATACATACATACATACATACATACATATATATATATATATGATTGAATACTACATAGAACCACAACTTACATTGTAAATTTGAAAGCATTGAACTTATGGAAAATGCATATCTCAAGAGATTTAGACCCAACCTTCCTCTAATTAGTCAATCTATAAATATTTAATAACCGCCATATCTCTTTCATGCTCTTTAATATTAGGGACTTCGATACTTTTTGCTCAAAAAAAAAAAAGATATTGATACTTCTAGTACTTCCTCCGTTTCAATTTATTTGAATATATTTTCTTTCTAATCCGTGCCAGAAAGAATGATCCCTTTCCAGATTTAGAAACAATCTAATTACTTTACGCAATGATTTATAGCCACACAATATATGTACCTTATTTTACACCACGAGTTCCAAAAGTCTTCTTTTTCTTCTTCTTAAACTCTGTGCCGGTCAATTAGGTTCGCATAAATTAAAACAGAGGGAGTACTACTTAATACTTATAACATTTCTTTGAAAAGCCTTAATTAAGTTTGAATTTATAGGTAGAATACTATTTTGTTAATACAAAAAGAGAATTATAAGTAGAGTAATATAACTACATAAGATCTTATCTGCCAACCGAGATGAAGAATGAACATGTTCATTATTTTGAAACGACACATATTTTAAATATATATAAAATATCTCGTTTTGAAGCCAAAAAGAAAAAAGGAAAAAAAAAATCTTATGAACATGTTCATTATTTTGAAACGACACATATTTTAAATATATATGCCTGTGCATTTGTTATGTCATTTGAAATTCAACAGTTTCAAAATACCTAAAACGTTCGAGTAGTATAAATTGCAGCCTAAAGAAACCCAAATTTCCCGCCCACATTTCTCCTCCCTTCTCTTTTTGCAAGACTCAATAACTCTTCAGCTTCTTTTCTGCGGCTGCTCCGGTCATCACCCCACTTTGGTATAAATATAACTTCTCACCTTTTCTTAATTCACCTTCTTTCTTTTTGTCTTGATCGGTATATATAGCGTATATTAGAGTTTATATTGTGTATATAAGCGATTTTCTTCTAAAGTGTACAGTTAAATTCTTTCATGTGCATGTAGTAGCTCTAAATAAACTTGAAAATCAACCAAAATGGACATATTTCTGGACATATTTTAACGCCACTCACTAATCATTTTAACTATTAGTGTCTATCTTTACCTTTTGATTTTACCATATACAGTAGAAAGAAAAAATAGTGCTCTTATGTTTGCTAAATTCTGACTAAAAATTGGGGAATTCCAGAAAGAGAAGACATGACAAAGGGAAGTTACGAGAAGGCCATTGTTTCACTCCAGAACCTCCTCAGGTTTGGACCATCGTATATCTAACATTAACTGAAATATGCTTTAAAAAGGAATCGTAAGATACTTTTGTTTTTTAAATATTTAGAAAAAGAACCAAAGTTGTTCCTTCTAACCCAAGTACTTGTTCAAAGTTTTGTTTTAAAAGTTCTTCAACAAAAATATTTCCAAATATCTAGCTGCTTAAACAGTTTTTAATAAAAGTTATTGAAAATTTATTTTAAATTTGAATGATTATTCTTAGAAAAGATAATATATATATATATATATATATATATATATATATCGAACTATATTGTAACATATATGTTTATATAAATTTTAAATTTATTATAGAGTAATAANTCCTAAATATCTAGACTGCTTAAACAGTTTTAATTAAAGTTAATTGTAAAATTTATTTTAAATTTTAGTAATAGATTATTACTTTAGAAAAGATAATATATATATATATATATATATATATATATATATACGTAGTCGAACTATATTGTAACATATATGTTTATATAAATTTTGTATTCATTATAGAGTAATAATTACTAAAGGAGTAATAGATGCAGTGTGGTACATAATAGCACTTGCTTAAGAATCTACATTTCTTACTTAAGAAGCATTTTAATAAACCAAGAGTATTAATTATGGGTGTTGGATTTGGAAATCATGCAATTGAAGGGACAAGGAAGAACTGGAACCGGTTGTAGCCGAAAGAATTGATGAAATCACAGCTGAGTTACAAACGACAGGCTGCAAATCCTTTGACCCTGTTTAAAGGATCAAGACTGGCTTTTATTATTTCAAAACAGAGATATATGAGTAAAGCCCCAATGTTCCCTTCTTTTTCTTTTCCCCAACATGTTAAAAGCGTGTCACTAATTTTCATACAATGATAATTAAACAAAACAATTCCTTGAAATGACAGTTCCTAATAAACTAATTTCTTTCATGTATCAGGAAAAACCCAGAACTGTTTGATAAACTCAAGAAAGGACAAGATCCCAAGGTATAAGATCTATATTACATTTTTTTTACTTTGTAATTTAATTTTCTATAGCTGAAAAATCAAGTATCCAACCATGTAACAGTTTCTGGTGTTTGCTTGCTCTGATTCACGAGTGAGTCCATCCCATGTGCTAAATTTTCAGCCCGGTGAGGCTTTTATGGCCCGAAACATCGCCAACATGGTCCCTCCTTATGACAAGGTCATTTATCAGTTTAAATTTTATGCAGTAGCTCCTTCTTTCTATTCTGTATTCATTTGGTTAGTTTACTCGACTTTTGTGTTGGAATTGGATTGCAACAGAAAATACTCGGGAGTAGGAGCTATAATAGAATAAGATGTTCTCCATCTTAACGTAGAAAATATTTTAGTCATTGGCCACAGTGCCTGTGGAGGTATTAAGGCTCTCATGGAACTCCCAGAAGATGGTTATGAATCAACGTATGTATCGTTAAGTAAATTGAATCTATACAAATTAACAGAAAGAAAACAACATTTAACTGAACAATTAATTATGTTATGTTACTAATTGAATAAATATATATATGTGGTGATTTATTGATTTTATTGAGGATTGGGTGAAAATTGGATTACCTGCCAAGGCCAAAGTGCTAGCTAAACATGGGGATAAAACTTTTGAAGAGCAAGTTAAATGCTGTGAGAAGGTAAAATAGTTTTCTCACACTAATTGTCTTTTTTACTTTTGTTTCTAAATATCAACTAGTAAGTTATTAGATAATAATGCGAATGAATAAACTGCAGGAAGCTGTGAATGTATCACTAGCCAATTTGCTGACATACCCATTTGTGAGTGATGCTTTGGTGAATAAGAATTTGGCGTTGAAGGGAGGTTACTATGATTTCATTAATGGAAGATTTGAGCTCTGGGGACTCAACATCGGCCTTTCTCATCCTTGTTATATATGACCTCAATACCACCATTTTCGAGCGGGAGAAGATACCCCTCGTTCTTGCCTTTTCTTATTGTATTCGGCATTTATGAGTGCTAGTTTGAATTTTAACTTAAATAAAAAGAGGGAGTGGACAAGGATTCTCCCATCTTATGGTAGAAGAGAAGAATTGTGATTTTTATTTGTGATAATAACTCTGCTCTGCAGAGAAAAATAATGTATAATGATAACTTTGTTATACTAGTTCAAAAGTTTGGTCACAATAATTTTCGTTTTGTCTTGGGCTTTGTTGGGTAAAAGATAGAGGAATTTTCATAAACCACTATAGTTTAAAGCCTAGTAATTATATTTATCTAATTACTATTCGTAGCTACTGTTCAACACTCGTCAAGCAACAAAAGGTTCGCAAATCAACATGCTTTTATAGACAAAATATTTTAATATACACTCATCATATTAAATAGTTTTTAATTTATTCGTGGAATCTAATAGAAGGTAAAATGGCCAAAAATAATTTTAGCTGTTCGAAATGAGACAACTTTATTTTTCATTTTGTTTTTGGATAAAAGTACAATTAATTATTAGAAATAGGACAATATTGTCATCCATATCATTTTGGCCGAATACTAATAGTTCAAAATATTATCTAAAAATAGAACTACGCCGATAAAGCACATCAAACAATAACATACTTTCATTTCATCATCGTTGGTTAGGGTGTACAAAGGAAATCGATAAACCACACCAAACTAACAAATACAGTCAAATAAAAAATAAAACGGGTAATGGTTTAGTTTGATTTGGTTTGACATGTAAAAAAAACCTAACTATAATATGTTTGGTTTGATATTAACTAAAAAAGTCAATCCGAGACCAAACCAACCCGATATTTATAACGACTATGCCGGTCGTTTCGAGAGTTGTAGCCCAGTTACCCATTTTCTGCTCCTTTTGTGTTCTACAACTGTTATACGACTTACCGGGTTGGTTGGTTCGGGTCCGGAGAGATTTCAGAGTGAATTGAGACACTTAGTCTCTTAATTGAAAACTTAAGTTAGAAAAGTTGACCGGATGTCGACTTAGGTGTAAACGACATCGGATTTGAATTTTGATGGTTCCGTTAGCTTCGTTAGGTGATTTGGGACTTAGGAGCTTATCCAGATTGTGATTTGGAGGTCCGTAGCAAAATTAGGCTTGAAATGACGAAAGTTGGAATCTTGGAGAGTTTGACCGAGAGTGAACCTTTTGATATCAGGGTCGGATTGAGTTTCCGGAAGTTGGAGTAGGTTCGTGGTGTAATTTATGAATTGTGTGCAAAACTTGAGGTCAATCTGACGTGATTTGATAGGTTTCGACGTCGTTTGTAGAATTTGGAATATCAAAGTTCATAAGGCTTGAATCTGTGTGTAGTTCGTATTTTTGATGTTGTTTGAGGTGATTTGACGGTTCGACTAGGTTCGTATGATATTTTGGGACATGATGGTATGTGTGGTTGAGGTCCCGGGGGCCTCAGGTGAGTTTCAGTTGTTAACGGATCATTTTTGGACTTAGGTTGTTGGCTGATAAGTGCTGGTGTGTTTCTTCTGGTTTCCTCTTATGCGTTTGAGAGAGGAGTCTCGCGTTCGCGAAGGGTGTCTGTGAGCTGGGAAGATTTTTTTCTTCGCGTTCGCGAAGAAGAGGACACGAACGCGAAGGTATGGTATGTGTGTGCATCGCGAACGCGGTAAAGGTGTTGCATTCCCGAAGAGATGTTGAGGCAGTTGGGGACCCCAGGCCCTTGGTCTACGCGTTCGGGGGGCAGGGGTCGCGTTCGCGAAGAGTGGAGTTGGGAAAGATTCACGTTCACGAAGCTATGGTCGCGTTCGCGAAGTGTTAAATTGAGAGGCAGGCAGATTGGTGTACGCGAACACGAGAGGAAGGTCGCATTCGCGACGAAGGTACACCTGGGCAGACTTTAAATATTTCAAAACGAGGGGTTGAGCTCATAATACAAAAATTGAAGTGGGAGCTCGGTAGAAGGAGATTTTTGGAGAGATTCTTGCGTGGGTGTTTGGGGTAAGTGATTCCTACCTAAGTTTGGTTAAATTCCATGATTATGCCTTTAATTCCATCATCTAATTTGTGATTTGGGGTGAAAAATTGGGAAAATTGAGGAAGAGTTCTTGGAGTAGATTTTTGTGGTTTGGAATGGGATTTTGTTATCGGATTTGAGTAAATTTGGTATAGTGAGACTCGTGAGTGAATGGGCTTTTGGGTTTTGTAACTTCTGTCGGATTTCGAGACGTGGGCCTAGGGGTCGGGTTTGAGCCGATTTTGGATTTTGGCTATAATTTAGTATTTTTCTTGTGGAATTGATCCCTTTAGCCTATATTAATTGTATTGTATAGCTTGTGGCTAGATTCGGAATGTTTGGAGATCGATTTGAGAGGCAAAGACATTGTGGCGTAGAGTTTTGCCTGTATTGAGTTAAGTAACACTTTCAAACTTGGTTTTGAGGGTTCGAAACCCCGAATTATGTGTTATGTGATTGGTATTGTGGTGACTCACATGACAAGTGTCGGGCTTGCGGGCGTGCACCGTGAAAATTGTGACCTGGTCGATTACTTGGCACTATATAGTGGATCTATCTTATTGATATACGTGCTTTCATCATGTGATAAAGTAATTGAGTTGTCAATCATGCTAGATATCATATTTAGGATTTATGCCGGTACTGTTTGGACCCATAGTGGTCGTTTCTTGCTGTCAACTTATTGATTTTCTTGATATTGCATACTCAGTCATATTCATTCATTTCATATCATATCTCAGTCTCAATTTTTATTTATAGATACATCATATCATTGTTTTCGGGCTAGTTTCATGATATTGTGAGCCCGTGAGTGAGACTGGAGAGATTGATGACTGAGTGAGGCCAAGGGCCTGGTTATGAGTGACAGTTATGAGATCGGGTTGCACGTCGCAGCGGTTATACTGATTTATGATAGCGTTTGGGCTGAAGGAGCCCCTCCGGAGTCTGTACACACCCCCAGCGAGGTTGATATTATTGAGGGATGGATCTTCCGTGGATATGGATCTTGTCCAAAGCATTGTA